AATAAAGCCCATAAAAACTGCCTAGTCACGCTGAAACAAAAAAGTTTTTCAATCGCTCCGTCAGACTCATGTCCTCAGAAAATTGTCTAAAAATTTCTGCCTGTGCCCAACTGACTTGACCCTGTGACTCCAATCGGCACAGTGAATGGCTTTTTCCTACCATTGATTGCCTACTACACCGACTATCACGAGCCTAGGTCGAGCCGTTAGATTTGTGCCGCAATTCTGCATTTCTTCCCTTATACAACATTAAGTTAAGGGTGAATGTTCCCCTATCTTTTATCACTCTTGACTTTTGACCTCTTGAACCGCAGCTTCGAACATCCAACTCGTTTTGACGATCGCCCCAACGACCCGAATATGTGCCGTACGTCGAGCGGTTAAAGATGTTGGATGTGCCAACTTGGTTGGCGGAGTTACGACCGATCCGAACGGCATGTCCGACCGGACGAGAGAGTCCGGAAGCGGACGCGGGACGGAACGGCGATCAAGCACGATTCTACAAGCTGCATCTGACTATGTCAGCATGAGTGAACTAATTAAGATACTCATCCATTCATCCCTACTATTACATTTACTATCTAGTATGATCATAAACTATATCCTACTATATATAATATAAATATATAAATAATATATATGATATATTATATATTATTGGGTATATATTTATATATATTATAGTACATTATATAGTATATATGTAGACTTAAAATTACAGCAGTTCTTTGTACCGTAACACTCACCTGTCGATAGAACTTGCCAATCTTTCTTCTCGCGCTTCTCATCTTGCTTTATCGCAGCTTTCAGTTGTGTGGTTACGCTCCGCTGCGGCCAGCAGCAGCAGTTTGCCGTGTCACAATTACCGGCCATAGCGGCTGTTTTGTGTTGTGTGTGTTGGTGGCGCTCCGTCGCCGTGGCAACCGATTCGATCTCCGTAAAACACGGGCGTGGTCGCTTGCCGGCCGGAGGACTCGGGTATCGTTCTGCTGCGCGCGAGCGGAGCGTGATTTCTCGCGGCGGCGACCGGCGGCGCCGACCGTCGACGTAAGCCGCTCGAGCACGACGAGATGTCGTAATTGCTTGATGCGGATGCTACGGGTGGTGCCCTTCTGGTCCGCCGACGCTGCGGCCGCGCGTCCATGCCAACGGTAGGCTCCATCTCCTGTCCCGATTGATCTGACTCGTGCCACGTAGCTCGGCGACATGCCGTTGACCGCTCGGCGCCTCTGCTGCTGGGAGGTCGCTGGACCCGGGTGCACAAGGGTGGCGCCCCTGCTAGCCGCGTCGTCGTTGCTAGTCGGGCGGCGACGTTGCAACGGACCGCGTATGCTGCATCGCTGCGTCAGCGTGGTCGCGAGATCATCTCGTCGATTGTGCGCTTTGCTGCTTGCGGTGTCCGGTGCGCGCGCAGTGCGGGACTCCTTTCCGGCACGTTCCCGTCACGGGCGGTGGTATGAGGGGCCCCGGCACTGGAGTGCGCGGCGGATCCTCCGACGTCTTCCCGCGAGAAAGGTGCCGGCCAGGTTGGCACTGCCGTCGCGCGGATCGTCCGCCTCGCCGACCCGGCGCAGCGCTCCGCCAGCCGCTGCCGCCTGCGCCGTCGTCGTCGTGGTGGGGTGTCACGGCGGCTTGAGCTGCGGCCACCAGGCGCCTGCCACGCTGCGGATAGGCTCCTTTGAAGACGCGTCGTGGCGGATCAGGCGGTGCGCAAGCTCGTCCGCGCGACAGATCCGTGGCACGGCTGAGCGCATGCGCCGCCATGTCAAACACGTATCGCCGCCGGCAATTCGCGCGTGCCGGCCGAAACGCGTTGCGGACGTACCGTGGGGAGTCGGTAGTGCTGCCGCCCCGCAGCGCAGCACCGCGGGCGCGTCGCCGACGAAACGCCACCACGCAGCTCGCCCGCATTGAACACTGCCGATAGAGGGAGCCGGCGGTGGCGGCGGCGGTGGTGGCGCCGGGCGTCGTCGCGCGTCGCCGCAGCGAACACGCAGTAGTTGCACGCGAGCTCACCGGAGGGCGCCGCCTGCAGGTGCAGGAGGAGGTGCTCCTCGACGTGCGTTTCCGCGACGACGCATCCGCAGACGTCGCACTCGACGACGGCTCTCCCCGCCTCCTCCTGCTCCTCCTCCTCGTCCTTGTCCTCGCTCGCCTCGGAGGGAGGCTCCCCGGCCACGGTCGGCCTTATGAGGAAGTGCCCGACTTCGTACGGCCGCTTGACCGCCCTCCTCTTCTTGCACGACGGAGACAGACTCCCGGACGCCGGCGACCCCGCTCTCTTGTTTTGATTGTCGATGCCGGTCGAGGACAGAGGGCGCCACTGGCGGTAGTCCGTGTCGCAGGCGGCGGCTTGGCTGGCGTCGGCGGATCTACGAGGGCTCAGCTCGCCCTGCGTCGCGTCTCGCAGCCGTGAGGTGGCGCCACCGTCGACCGACGAAGACTCGGCTTCGCCGTCCTTCGCCAGGAATCCTCCCATCCGACTCACCGACTCCGTCGCGGTCGTCGCAAACGCCACCAGGGCGGCGACGCTGCTGCACTCCTTCTCCTCGTCTCTGTCGCGCGACCCCGGCCGACCCTCGCTTGACCCGGCGAGTCGCGAGTCGCCGCCCGTTTGCGTTCCAGAAACCACGACGCGACGCGACCGCACCCCGCCGCTAACCCCAGCAACCTCTTCGGATTCGCCGACCCCCACGGTTTTGCATACCCCCTCGAATGGACTCGCGCCCTCAGTCCTGACGCCTGTGACCCAATCGCCGCTGACTCCCTCGCGCACGACCTCTGAAGACTTGATCCCGCCGTCTGACGTCTCGGTCGGTTCCTCGTTGAAAATCCTGACGACGTCGGCCGCCGCGCGACCCAGCGCCTCTCCGTACTCCTCCGCGACGTAGGCCACCAGTCGGCGCCCCGCGTCCGCGTGCTCCCGCACGGCCACGCCCTCTTCCGCCGCCCGACCCCGTCCGCGCGCATCGGTGCGGCCGTGCGCGCGCGGGGGACGTCCGACCGTGCGTGGCCATCGCGCCGATAGGAGCGGCCGCTGCGAGCGCAGTGGACGCCGCCGCGGGAGAACGCCGCCGCGCGGTTGTGCGAGGAGTGCCGCGAGGAGGAGAGCGAGAGACTCGCGGCGTCGTAAGTCGCAGTCAGGCTGGCAGGCAGCGCAAGCGCTCGCGCGCGGCCCGCAGCGTCGACGCCTTTTCCCCCCCCGCGCGCCGGTCGCGCCCCGCCGCCAGGCTGCTGCCGCAGTGCGGGTGAGAGCGGCGGCGAGAGCCGCGGGCCTCGTAACGTCGCACGTGAGGTCTGAGACAAACGAACATCCCCGCACCGCGGCCCTGCCGCCGGCCGCGCCCCTTGTCCTTACCGTGCTGCTGCCCGCCTGTGGGAGAACGATCGGCGTGACGAGCGGCGGACGGGTTCTCTGCGTGGCGCCGCTCCTCCTCACCTCCTCCCGCATTCGAAACGGTGGCAGCGCGGCGTCGGTGTCGGCGGCGATGGCGCGGCCTGTGGGTTGCGCGGCATGGTCGGGGCGAGGTGGTACACGAGGTGGTAGTCCATCTCCGCGAGCGCGAGCCGTGGAAGAAGAGCACGCCGGTACCAGCACTTTGTACATGGCGAACACCGCTCGCCGACTGCCGCACACGCGTTCGCAAACTTGTGGATGCTAAAGTGCTTGAGCATCGCGTCGGCGGACGCCGCCGGCGTAGCGCAGTCCGCGGTTACGAGCACACGATGCTGCCGCCGTCTCGTGTGGCGACCGTCACGCGTGCTTCGCCGCGGTGTCGCGTCGCCCGCGGCGATGAGGGGGCGGCCCGGCGGACGGATGGCGAGGTTCGCCCGGCGACAGCAGTCTCGGTCGAGACCGCCCGCGTCTCGACTGCGACTCGCGGCGGCGGGTTCGGGCTCGAGACGCTGTCGTCCGCGCGATTGCTCCGGGTAGTTGTTCCTCGCTTCCTTCTTGATGGACAGATTCATCGGAGGTAAGGGAGGAAGCGAGGAGGAGGTCTCGATCAGAAGAACCCGTTCGTGTGCACGCGTTTCGCTCGAACTTCCGCGTCGCGGATAGCACCAAACCCCATCCCCGTCGCCACTGCGGGACACCGGCGCCCTCTCGCCGTGGTCGAGCCCGCGCGGGGAGCTCTGGGAGACGGACTGCTGCCGCTATGAACGAGACCCTTGTTGAGATGGCGGACCCGATGTTAAGCGTGAGGTCGTCGAATACGCGTCAGTACCATCGTGCCGGGGGGACGCCATCGAGGGCGCCTCCGTCGGCAGGACTGACCGCTGCGACGCAGCTTCCCGCCGCGCGCACCGCCGCGATGCCTCGTCCGCGTCGACTGACTCTCCCCGAGGGCCCCGTGGACTCCTCTTCAGGGAGGATGAGGCGTGGCGATGTGCGGAGGCGGTGTCGCAGCAGGGGCCCTTGCAGTCGGGGGCGCCGCGTCGGCCGCGGCGGCTCGTGAACTTCATCGTCGCGGCGGCGGGCGTAGTCATCCGTCGGCCAGCAGCGCGTGTGCTGCACGCGGTAGATTACGCATCGCCGCCGCGGTCGCCCGTGCGTAGCCGCAGCGGGCGCCCCGCACGCCGCGATGCTGGCGTGCGCCGGCGGAGGTGAGCGCGGTGCACGTCCGCAACCGGTCGTCGCAAACCCCAGAACGCGTGGGTCGCATGTGACTCCTGCGGCGGCGGGGAGCTGGCCGGCGGCAGAGCGATGAACGGCGGCGGCGCGGCGCTCGGGGTCCGTGCGCTGGCGCGCGGTGAGATGTCGACGAGAGTCGGAGCAGGGTGAGGAACGCGCACGCGCGCTCCCCGCACAGGTGCATGTGCCGGTTGTCAAACTTTAGTCTCGTCGCGCGGGCCGCGCGTGCGCGCGGTACGACGCCGCGTCGTACGCTGCGAAACGCGCAGCGCGGTATGACCGCAAGACTGCGCAGCGCGCCGCGCCAGAGTGGCGCCGCGGCGCACGTGTGAGCGAGGAAGCGTCGCGCGCGTTTTGCACGCGACGCCACAATCGGCAAAGACGCATCGCGCCGCGCCCGGCGTCCTTTCACAGACAGCCGAGCTGTGCACGGCGAACGCTAGCGAGTCGACCGCGCGGCCGCCGTCGTCGTCGGTGACGCGCAGACCGGACCCGAAGCAGACGCCTTATGCCCTCGTGCGTGTAACCGTGCCGCGACGTACTCCGCGAGCGCGTCGTCTGCGGTACTTGCAGCGCGGGAAGTAGGCTGCGCACACCATTCCGAGCGCTCGGTGCGCCGCCCGTCGCCGCCCCGGCGGCCACTCGTCCCGCGGGCGCCGGACGCGTCGGCGACGGCGCCCTACCGGCGACGGTCGCGTCCGCTTGCGGGGTGCCGAGACGGCGGTGCTTGCCGAAGTCACTGCGGTTCGTGAACACGCGGCCGCAGCCGGGGAAGTAGCAGCGGATCTCGGTGGGTGGCTCACGCGGCAGCGACGGCAGCACCGACTTCGCCGACTTTGCGACGACGGCCATCATCGTGTCGAGCGAAGACAGACTCTCCGTCGACGACTGCAGCTCCAGACTGCTCAGCTGCGGACGCGGCGGCGACAACGGCGCGACGTCGGGGCTGCCCGCACGCGCTCGCGGCCCGACGATGGACGCAGGGCTGCCCGCGCGTGCAGGGCTGCCCCTCCCCGCCTCAGGGCTGTTGGCGTCCGTCGATGACTCCACGCAGAAGCCGGACGCGCGGCCGCCGCCGCCGCCATCGCTCTGTACCTCATCCGCCCACGACACGTGGCTCCTCTTCCTGCTGCTGCTATTGCTGCTCCTGCTGCCGCCGCCGCTGCTCCTGCTACTGCTGCTGCTGCTGCTGATGCTGTCCGGCTTGCCCTCACTGTCGGTCGAACCCTGCCGGTCGACACTGAGGATGGTTCGTAGCCGCTGCTGCTGCTGCTGCTGCTGCTGCTCCGCCACCGCCGCCTCCCCGCCAGCGTCGCCGACGCCGCCGTCCAACACGTCCCCTCGGTCCTCACACACGCCATTCAGTCGGCCGTGCAACGACGGAGCGACGTGATTGGCGGCGGCTCGGAGACGCTTGCTTAGGCAGTCGGTGGCGCCACCTGAAGCAAGTAAATGATGGTTCGTCGGATGCAATGATGAATTGGTGGAATTGGAAACACTTTTTCTCGCTCTCGTTCTTTCTCTCTCTCCTTCTCCCTCTCTCTCATCTCCCTCTCCCCCTCTCTCGCCCTCTATCTCTCTCTCTCTCTTTCTTTCTGTGCCACTCTCCTTCTCTATCCGGCTCACATACATCATTGCCGCAGCAGTGACTGTAAGTACTATTCAATGTTTACAGCCGCCGTAATATAAATGCCTGCGTGATCACACGCATAGTGACGCATCCTGCAGATACATAACTCTCTGTTTTTGCCCGCTTTCCAACTGACCACATCCAACGCGCCATGTTGTGAAAGCACGTGTTTTAATTAATGCCTAACCGCGCAAAACCGACGTTGGCCGGCTGTCTGTTGTAAAACATGTGTACATACATGAACCAAAGATAGCCGTATTCACTAGGCTTTGTACAATACAAGCTATGAAACTTTCACTTTCTATGAGTGAGACTGCAAATAAAACTTTAGACCCGATATACATCACGCACACGCACACACGCGCGCGCACACACTCACACGCACACACGCGCGCGCACACACACACACGCACACACGCGCGCGCACACACTCACACGCACACACACACGCACACACGCACGCACATACAACACACGCACACGCACACACACACGCGCACACACAAACGTGCACATGCACGCACGCAGAAACGCACGCATAAAAACTGCCGTGTCATGTCTTATCTATGCTAACATCAACATCCTGTGTGCACAAGTGAGAGAGAGAGTGAGATAGCTAGGCTGCTGTACCTGCACTGTACCGCTTCACATTAGTCAGCTCATCCTGGAGCTCCTCAGCATCCGCATCTAGGCTGGCTTCACTCTCCGTCTGCACATCATCTAGCGTGCCTCCGTTCTACGAGCGGATGAAGAAAATTAAACAAACGAGTAAAAAAAGGGATTTTACCGCCGACACATGCCGGCTTGTGCGAGAAGCACACATATCCTCTTATAAATAGGTCTCCTGTTTAAATATGAATACTATACAATGCATGAATACTCAATGATCCTGTAAGACTTGGGTAGTAGGATGGACTGCATGGTAAGGCACTGGTGATAGGATGTCAATCATTGTAAATCTAACTGAGCTAGAGAGCGAACGTATTTAGACAGTCTCAGACGTTTACCCAACTGATACAGAGAGTACAGACACGTGTCTTCTAGTAACAGCAGCATATATAATATTATGTCAACCCACTACTCTTTGTTTCACAGTTCATTTAATTAAGCCAGTTAGGAAATACTCACCAGTTAGGCAATACACCCTAGCTCCCACAAAATGCGTTTGCTATTGACCGCACGCACGCACGCACGCAAACGCACGCACGCACGCACGCACGCACGCACACACACACACATATATAGATATCAGGAGCATATAATGACAAATACGCTCATTTGTCATTATACGCTCCTGATATATATGAACGAGTATGACAAGATGACGCAATGCAGCGAGGCTCTAGCCGGTTAGTATCAGGTGATCAAAAAGCATCCGCGTGCAAATCACATTAGAGATGCTCTCTTGTTCTTGTTGGCCACCTATCAGGAGCAGAAGCGAAAGCAACTACAGTATCGATGGAGGAGGTAGTAGTAGCAGCCGCAGCGCGCAACAGAAGTAGTAGCAGTAGCAGCAGTAGCTACAGTAGTAGCAG